GGAATCAACAAAGATGACATGTTTTGTGTGCATATGAATCCAAATCCAATAGTTAAATGGAATCAACAAAGATTCATCCTTAGTTGCATGCCAAGTGCTGAATTGAAAAGCAGATGTTTCTACAAAAAGTCATTGTAAAAAAAATCATTGTCAACGCATTTTTTTTTAGAGATAATTGGCTAAAGTGTCATATTTGACACATATAATTAGAGAATTGTCCATGATGTGATAATCACTTTCCTTTGGACCATTTTGCCCTTCTCTATACTCTCTCTCATCTCTTTGACATCTCTTTTTTTTCTCTTTAATCCCTAATTATTTTACAAATCTCTATCATTCTATGTACAATTAAATTTTAAATTTCATTATTTTTTCATAAGTGGCTTTGAATCCTCAATTTTGACTGTTTTTCTCTCCATTCCCTAATTATTTTACAAATCTCTATCATTCTATATACAATTAAATTTTAAATTTCATTTTTTTTTTCATAAGTGGCTTTGAATCCTCAATTTTTTGATGATATCAATTTTCTGGGTTTTAGATTCGACGTCGTGTTAGCGGTTAACAAATATTGTAGATGTTAACAGAAGTGTTAGGTGTTAACAATTATTTTTACGCTTCGCGTTAATAAATGTGTTCGCTGTTAACAAATATTGTAGACGTTAACAGAAGTGTTAACTGTTAATAATTATTTTTACGCTTCGCGGTAATAAATGTGTTGGCTGTTAACAAATATTATAGACGTTAACAGAAGTGTTATATGTTAACAAATGTTTTTACGCTTCGTGTTAATGAGAGGAAAGAGAAATGACATTCTCGGCATTTCCTTGCCAAATGGTTGTGTCAGTGTCCTTCATATCTAATTAATGGTATTTTGTTAATTTGAGTTTCAAATATGGGTAGTTCACTAAATCACTCTTTTTTTTAATATGGCTCTAAACCATTATTTATTTATTTTACATTTAAATTTAAATAAAAATAGGCAGATAAAGAGAACAAGAAAAAGATAAATCCGATGAAAATTTAATATAATAAACTATACAAAAACTAAAGAACATAGAGGAAATTATTTATCACATAAAGAAACAAAAATGAGGATTAAAAGATCTTCTTCACTAATACTATCTTAAATCTTTTAAAATCACATTATATTGTGCTTCTTATGGATTAGGGGATCCGACATGGCGAGATAAATTGTCACCTTCATCCATATAGCTTATGACACAAGAAGTCTCAGTCATACCGAAGCATCTGTACATCATGATGATGAAGCAAATACCATACTTCATACTTGTGATATACAATGTTATATAAGAGTTTCAGAGTTTTATATTGCAGACGATCATTGTTTTCTGTTTCATATATACAGAAATGGAAGAAAGTATTAAAACTAAACATCATGAAAAATATCCAAATATTCAACAATTTCCTCTTTTCTTTGAGTTTTTGTATAATTAATTATCTTAAATTTTCCTCTTCTTTTTTTGAAACACTATCTTAAACTGTCCTTATCTTCGAATCCTTATATACGAAACTAAAGAAAAAGGAAAATTGTTGACAACAAAAAGAAAATTATTTTTGAGACGGTCATTGTTTTTCATATGTACGAAAATCTAATTATCGTTAAGAATTGTCCAGCAAATCAACAATTTCCTTTTTTCTATAGTTTAACTTTTCCTTATCTTCGACCACTCGCCTACTATATAAACACATGTATAGAGAACTAATGTTTTCACCAAACAAACTCATTACTTCTCCGTAAATCTCCATCAGACTTGTTTCTCCCAAACGTCAAGAACCAAACAACTATAAATCATGGCTTTGATCAACATCAAATCTTTCCTCACTTCTCTTATAATTCTTGTGGCACTTTTTGGAGTTGGAGTAGAAGGAACAATTCACAAAGTTGGCGACTCGAGCGGATGGACCATGATGGGTGTGGATTACCAAGCTTGGGCTTCTTCAAGAACTTTTCAAGTAGGAGACTCACTGCTCTTTGAATACAACAACGAGTTCCACGACGTCACTGAAGTCACTCCCCATGACTTCGAGCTATGCGTTCAGTCTAATCCGTTAGCGAGATACCAAACTGGATCAGACACGGTAACTCTAACCAAACCTGGATTCCAACACTTCATATGCGGAGTTCCTGGTCACTGCGACATAGGACAGAAACTTAACATCCTCGTCTTCCCTGCCTCGTTGGGTCCAGTGGCTGCTCCAGTTCCAGGACCAGTCAGTTCACCAAGCTCTTCTATGTCTCCTTCACCTTCTCCCTTTGCTGATTCACCAACTAATGCTCCACAGTTTCAGATGGGACCATCACCTCTTTGAAGGGCTGTCTTGGTTTCAACGTGTTGGTTTTGGTCTTTTGTTATTGCGATCTTGTTGTGTAACCTTTTATATTTTTTATTTTCTTCATTGTAATGAATGAGGTCTTGCTTCCTTGTAATTCATTTTCTTCCAGCCGATTTGTTGATACAATTTATTTTAAAAGTATAAGAGCTACGTTTGAATCACCATAATACATTAGTGAAATAAAGTTGAGGGTAAATAAAACCATCAACTAAAGATTTAGTGAAATAAACCCTCAACTTTAGTTCCGTTAATGTTTGTCACCCTCCGTCACAGAATTTTAGACGGAGGGTAACATACGTTAACATAACTAAAGTTGAGGGTTTATTTCACTAAATCTTTAGTTGAGGGGTTTTGTTACGATTCATCTTTAGTTGAGGGGTTTTATTACTAAATGCGGTTAAATATTTCAAAATCTCTATTATCATTTATTTAGTATTTAAGAATTTTACAATGTATTTATAAACATTGAAAATAATTTATAATCTTTTATATATTACTTTATTAAATTTTTAACCTATTTATAAAGCTTAGTAAATATTTTAATTTTGTATAAACTATTAATAAGGTTTAATGATGATTTTATAAGCTTTTGTCTGCTATTACTTAGGATGAAATAATACATGATCTTTCTTGATATTACAAAGTAAAGCGATAAAGCTTTATAAAAGAGGAAACACAAACAATTTTCTTATATTAATACTTTCAAATATCAAATAATTATGATTTCTAAGTTATATAAAGTTGTAGGTAGTGTTGAGGATATTTAATTAGTTTAGAAATTCAAGCTTGTTACTTAAAATATGGCAAGAGCTTTTTTTTCCTCTTTAAACAATTTCAATTTGATTCGTACTTTTTCTGTTTTAGAAGAAATAATGTAGGATTATTATTTTTTTTTTTTGAATTTCTGAACCAATATGTTATACTCCTACCATATTAATAAATAAGCTTTTCTTGTTTTATTTATTTACTTCATGTTTTTGTGGTATGACGAATAATCACTTCTTTAATCTTATAAAATCATCATTAAACTTTAATAATAATTTATAAAAAGTATTAAATGAGAAAACTTTATAAATAGGTTATAAAATTGATAAAGTAATATATAAAAAATATAAATTATTTTCAAAGTTTATAAATCAATTTTAAGATTCTTAAATAATGAATAAATGATAATAAAGATTTTAAAATATTTAACCACATTTAGTAATAAAACCCCTCAACTAAATATGTATCGTAACAAAAAACCCCAACTAAAGATTTAGTGAAATAAACCCTCAACTTTAGTTCTGTTAACATATGTTACCCTCCGTCTAAAATTCTGTGACGGAGGGTGACAAACATTAACAGAACTAAAGTTGAGGGTTTATTTCACTAAATATTTAGTTGAGGGTTTTTTTTACGATCCATCTTTAGTTGAGGGGTTTTATTACTAAAAACCCAATCTTTTTTAAAAAAAGTTGTTAAAGAAAAAGAAAATCCAAGAAAGACTATTATATGAAAAGTATTTGGGACATCAAATTTGTAAAACTGTTGTGTTTTCATTTAAACTAGGTGATTTTCCCGTGCTCATGCACGGGAATAAATATTTATAAAACAAATATACTATAAAAATTGCTTGTTATTTATTTTAATTTATAATTTATATGCATAATTTATATTAATAATACTATAGTACTTTAGCAGATGAATGTAGATATGTTATATCTAATTGGTTTTGTTATTTTTACAGTCGATTTAGTTATCATATGAATTTATTGGACTGTATCTATTTTTCTAAATTCAACTACAATGTTTTTTATTCTAAATATATTAAATTTTGATAAATTTTCTTATTTGTATTTAGGTTAGTTGTTGTGTTAGATACGTAAATATATTTTAGGAAGATTATGTATAACTTAGTATAGATTGTTTTTAGAATGAAATAAAAATAAACTAAAGTGTCTCGTTCTAAATTACATAAATTAATATAACAAAAATATTCTGAAGTCTCATGCATGTATTTATAAGAGAAAACTAATTCTGATTCGAACAAGTGCATAATAATCAGTGAGCCTTTTATTGGACCCAGCTAAAAACAAGTTAAATATTGATCCATCTAAAATAAAATTAACTGTGATTTCAGTTCTGAAAAATGTGAAACTATTAACTTAAACAGCTAAAACCGTGTTCAAAATCCAAATCACTGGCACTGGTATAATAATCTGAAATATCTCAAGAAAAGTAGAATTGGACGCAGAAAAAATCTAAAAGAAAGTGTTGCATTGTGTTTTTCCTGTCAGAGAAGAGAATGATAAACACAAACCTTACAAGGTTCTTGTTATCGTTCTCACAACGCCTCATGATAAACTGATTCTAAAGAAGATTCGAGACGTTATATCGTCAAGTAATGAAGCAAAACAGAGAAAGAATACAAGCGACTTGCACATCAGTGGTATGTCGAAAATGGTAGAGAATGTGGCGACAATCCAAATAAGGTTGAGGAAAGATCGATCATCAGAAGAATCTGAATGGGTGCAAAATATGGTTTACACATGTAACTAAACACACTCTTTGTATATAAATATCTTATTATATATTTGTTTATATTATTTTCATTTCATATCCAACCCATAATAACGTGCGTAGATACACTTAAAAGTGGTCTTCCTTTATCAACATCCCTGTCTGTTTTGGTTTATTTCTTTTCTTCCCATTGGTTAGGCTCTGTTTTGGTCGGTATGGCCCATAATCGGGAGGCTACTTACACAGCTTGTATTTGATCGGCATGGTTAATAAAGGTTTTAAACGCTCTTCAATGACGATATTGCAAAGGAGGACCAAAACGAAGAAGATAAAACAAGAACTATCATGAATATAGCTAAATACAATGTTTGTTACTTATTCTCAAACCAAAAAAAAAAAATAACACAATAAAGCAAACGCAATAACAAGATAAGGGTCTATGTTCACCAAAAAAAAAAAAAGATAAGGGTCTATGACTAGAAAAGTAGATTATTCATGTACATCAAAAGAAGAAGAAAAAGATCAACAAGGAATGGTGGAAGTGAACCACTCCATAACATGAATTGGGGCTTTGATCAACCCCAACGCCATCTCCACTAGTATCGTCACGCATAAGCAACATGGACATATGCACGACAACAACAATCTGCACAAATACATAAACCACAAGAATCAGAATATTAGTGATGAACGAGTTAGATGATCATCCAAACTTCCAACTTCGAATTTCTTTATTTAATATTTTTTCCAGTTACGAATTTTATTCAAGAAATCGTAAAACCTAAGCAGAGCATCAACAAAGATTCCGAAACTCGAATCTTCGGTGCTGAGAGCACTATTTAACTTTAAGAATCATAACGAAACTATCAAGAAATCGAAACTAGGAGAGGGGATAATTCTTGGGACTAACCCGACGATCCAGATGATGACACCGACGATGGAGAGAAGGAGAGACAAGAAGGCGAAAGGGAGGCCTAAGAGGAAACCGAGAGGACGGCAGTCATCGGAGCACATGGTTGGCGAGAGTTTACTGTTACAGTCCTGATGAGTCTTCGTCTTTCTTGTGCAGAGGAAAGAAGAAGGAAGAAAGAATAAATGATAGTCTTTCAGAGAGACGCCGTGTTTGGTGCAGCTAACGCGTTATTTTTTTTTTTCATTTTTGGTATATAAATCTGCTTAATAAATGCTTATACTTCACCAACAACTATAAAATGATCATTAAAGTCCATTTCAATATATTACTTGAAATATAGAATGTGAATGTCCTAGTTTTTTTTTCTTTCTAAAAAATATTTTATTGACATATTTATAGATATGTTTACATAGTTATTCATGTTATGTTTGTAAAAAGATTAATTTTGGATACATATAAGATCTTCACTCCTTAATAGAAAAAAATAAGATTTCATTAATTTTTTAAAAAATCAAAATCAATTGATAATGTATATTAGCAATATATGTCATTAAGTAAAAATATTATATTGTTTTTTAACTAATATCTTATGCATTTACAATTAGAATATCTGATAAGAAATATTTTGAATCATTTTAAAAAAAATTATCTTCTATATATACAGAGAGAAGGTCTAACCTAACATCTTATACCCACTTCAAATAACTTCTTTGTATTTTCAATATGTATAGGACATATGTGTGTGTTTTTAACAGAGTGTTTTAGAAACATATTTCATCCAATAGCAATGTCTGATCCTTTTATTTTCTTTTTTAGTCAAAGAATGTTTTTATACCTTATTTGAAAAGGTTTGTAAAAAATATTTTGAAAAGGTTTTTGTTATTTTATATTAATTAAATTAAAATTATGCATACTATATCTACACGTTTACATTAGGTGTATTAATAGTATAGATCTAATCTTAGACAATAGTAGTTTGCTTTGTCCTTGACGCTTATACCAAAAAGGAAAGAAAGAAGCTGTATGCGAAACGGAACGATAAACAATGTACTTTAAAAACGTTGGTCCCCCTTCAGATATGCAGAGAAATGATATGTGCAGAGAAAAGAGAGAGAAAAAAAGAAGGTGGTTGTTGGAAGTTGGAATTGATCTCCACAAACACAATCCTGCGCAACACAGCCTGAACTAGAACAGTTGATTCTAACAATAACAAGCAAGTGACCATCCCGTGACTACTAAAAGTAGTGACTAGCTAGTGAGTATTGTTGTTGTGGGCTATTATTAAAGTAGGTTTACTAATTGGATAGATAATCATGTTGCCCATGGAAGAAAGTGAATAAGGCCCATTTTTTTTCCTTTCAATTACTTTCAGTTTCTAGAATTATAAGTATCAGGCCTAATTTCTGAATGAAAATGATAATTTCCAATACGCTTTGCATTCTCATGAGTGTAGCATATCATCCAATAATGATGTCATAAAATATAAAGATTTCAAACCACCACGCTTCATGCTTTATATTCACATCCCAAACGGTTTTAATCCTGCTGCCATAATAAATGGAATATATGTATCCCAATATTCACCAGTACATGTACTAAGTCAAATTGTTTTTTATATCAAGAACATGCGTTATAGATCTGTTATGTAAACTGAAAGTGTACAAGTTCAAAACTTTTTTAACCTAGTCAACAGAAACTCTGTTTATTTTTCTACAAAGGTATCTACTTATAAATTGTCGTCATCTAATGTTCTATATCGTTAATTGGTTTCAACAGGTGAAAGCAAGTTCCTAGACTAATATGAGAATGACAAGTCTAGAATATTTTAAACTGATAAATAAGTACATTCAAATAAAGTCAACAGATTGCATATGTGTAAACTGTAGACAGATGTGCGCGCGTTGAGAAGAATCTTTTTGTTGGAGAATATGTTCATTTGTATTCCCATTTGTCAAGTTCATATTGTAAAATATGTAGTTGATGTCAGCGAAATTTAGGGACATAGACGATTTATTAAAGATTTCAACTTATTTTGTTTTATAAATTTGGAGACTTAAAAAATTTATTTTCAAAGTTTTTATTTATATAACTTTTTAAAAAAATTTAATGGTTTAAGACTAATATTTTATTCGACTTTTCCAAGATCCGGTTCTGTTTGTGTAAGATTGCAACAAACTGCTTTTTACAAGTTTGTAGTCTTAGTTTATTATCACTCACTTTATATACTACTAAAATCTAGTTGATGACACCACTTCCTAAGCAAACATTTACTCGTTGAACCTTAAAATATGTAGTCACCACACCACAAAAAATCAAATTAGGAAATATAAGAACCAATTAGAAAAATATAAGAACCCATTACGGATGCTATCGAAAACAAATAGTTGGTTACATGCTCTTATTCTCTTCTATAGTTACATAAATGAATTAAGGAATATATATATCAGATATGATTTTCTGGAGTATATCTTTCTTTCTTTTTTACCGAAATTTCCATTAATAAGCAAAAGACCCATAAAATGGGTAAAGTTTGTGGAACCGCAGGCCAACTTAACAAAATAAGACAGGGCTACCAAAAAACAAACAAGCCCATTTTAACCACAAGACAACCTGCTATCGAAAACGCTAAAAAAGAGAACCACGTATATTTTGAATCATGACTATCACAGTTTTTCTTAATGATTTGCAGTTTGGCCACTAAATCACTAAAAGTAATCGTTTTGATTCAGTTTCAATCACTATATTCTGTTCATCATTTCCCTTTACTTTTTGTTTCCGTATAAATGAAAAAAGTAAAACTCAAACGAAAAAGACGGGTAAATATAAATATTATTTATAATCCAATTGCTGTTACATAAAAAGTAACTCATTGGAGACACACGAGAACATACAGAGAAAAGTTTGATGTATTAAGACAAGGAGGTACAACTATACCAAACCTTCATACAGCAAAATTGCACGTAATATTTTTTTTTTTGGCAACGAAATTTGTACGTAATATTTATAAGAGAGAATAAAAGCATATAACATAGCGGTATTTGATGACCTGCATGGATCAGTCACAGTTATTGTGCTTGAATCTTCGGCCAAGTATATAATCCGTACCATTCAATGATGTTGTGGGTCAGGTCCTCCCGGTGAAACCCTTTCCGAATCCACTAAAAACCTCCTTTCATTATATCCTTTGAACTTGGAGAGATCGAACCCGAGCTCACGTAGGAGAACCTGACTATTCATAATGCCCATGTTTTCAACTCGGTCTGCATGGAGGATTCGAGCCTGAGTACTCATGATTTGTGATGAAAATATGATTAGGAGTATGATAAGAGCTTGCTTAAGGATTAAATTCGCCATATAACAAGAGATAATTGAGAGTGAGAGATGCAAAATGGGATGAAGTTCAGAGAGAGAGAGTGTGATGATTTGTATGCAATGATATATTCTATTTATAGATCACAAGATCTAACGAACATGTTAAGAATTGAGTCGTTTGGCTCAGTGGAGAGAACATGATGGGATCCACAACGAAAATGAAAGGCAAATCCGACTAAAATATTAAGATTATAAAACTTATGCACGTACACACAAAAGCAATATGACATGGGTTATTCAACTGATCCAACGATCGAAACTTTCAGGTGAAAATCTATATTTCGTGGACCATTAGGTATTTACTTTACATGTATATGGTTGATTAATGATTAGAAAAGTTCGATGTTAAGTTTACGAGGATAAATATAAAAATGTCAACTAACCCAGATTCTCATGCGAGGAGCTATAGGCTTGTGTAAATAGATACTCCTATTTTTTGAACTAAACTTGTGTATATATTTAAATCCATTAATTTTGATTTGCTGTTTATTATGGAGTTTCTTGAACGGTTTTCACAACCTTCAATTTCTTGACGTCACCATTAGTTTTCAAAATATTCAAACAAAAAGAGAAACATAATTGATTACCAAAAACAGAAAGAAAAAACAAAATGGCATATTGTAATATAAACTTTATTTTAGAAGCATTTATAGCAGTGTTAAGGTATATATCAATACAGACGAATCAGCTTTATAGGTGTGCAAATAAAGTATGAAGGCGTATAATTTAATTCATACAACATATCACATATTATACTTTGAAAACTATGTGATATAGAAAATGGTCTGAGATGAGTAAAATATGCTGGAAGAAAAGAACTATAAACATTTCAACAAGAAGTCAAATTTTTACGAGATTTTCAGTATATATTTTCTTGCTAATCATATTATTTTATGTGTTTAACTTGTAGGTTTTTAAATAGAAAACATCATCAAACAATTGAACTAACACATTTTTTTTCTCTAAATAAGCGTGAATTTTATAGTAAGTTAGAAATGCATAAATCTGTGTTGATTTGACCAATATAAGTATTCTTCTAATTAACATTAACTTTTGTTTGTTTAGTATTAAAATCTGGCAGTGAGGCGTTAAAACAAAAAAAACAACGTCACTTCTATAACCTTAAATAATAATCAAAAGAGTCGGTGATCCGGAGCGCTTCTATTCAAAGCCTTAATGTGAACCAGGAACTAGTTGATACGGAGACGCTGACTCGGTATCAGTATTGATTGATGTTGCTAAGGAGCCTGATGATAACTCTTCGGGTCATGGAGAAGAAGAATCTCTGGCCAGAGATCATTGAATACTTGAGCTGGGATCTATGGAGGTGGTAGGGACATGATTGATGTTTTTAGTCAAATTACGACATATGTGTGGATATGAATATTTGAAATTGCTGATACTTCGAAAAAGGTCATGGAAAAGGGAGACGAAGAAACATTTGTTCTGTCGGACCAAAATGACGAAAACGGGAAGGTGTTGTTTTTGTTTTAGTTAGTCGACAAGTGACCAATACCCGTTTAATCTTTGTTTTAATGTTCCATCAATGTAATTTTAGAATGGTTTATTTGTGAAATAACAAAAAAAAAAAAGAGAAAAATTAGAATTGTAGAAAGAAGGTAGAGAGATAGGAAGAAAATTAGGAGAAAAAGAATGTTTTGGATAGTTAGTGAATTTGTAATTTCCCTTATATTTAAAGTGTAATTTGTTATTGGATATAATTCAGTTGTTGTATTGAACGAATTTTTGATAGACACGATTTCGTGTCTCATCGATGATAAATAAACTAATTAGACATTCATTATCTCAGTTCAAAAGTATTATTCCATCCATTCCATAACCTAAAATGTTTTAATGAAAATCTGATGTTTCATAAGTATAAGTAGTGGTGATAATCTTAGTTCACAAAAAAAAGTAATAGTGATAATCTAGTGGCGATTGAGTGATAAATTTAATACGGTGAATCCTAATTCAAATTCTGTTGGTAATTATTGTTTTCGACTCACTTGAATGCTTATGAGAGAGTCTATTCGTGGACTGCTGATGTTTCTTCACTAATAAATTTTGTTGGCGATGTTTTTTCACTAATCAAATCTGTTATATAGCTTGACTGGAAAATGAAAATGAAAACAAAAAAAACAGTAACATGAAGGGATTTTTTTTTCCTTTTCTAAGAGGAATCATTAGAAATTATATAAATACCTTATAGTCAATCATTTTAAAATTTAACATTAAAAAATAGTGAACAAGTTGTCGATTTATAAATAAAATATCACCCTGCTTAATCATTGATAAACTTTTCCAAATAATCCAATATCTCAACAAATACCACGGATTAATGGTTTGGTAAGTTTTAGATTGGATACATTACTAAAAATGATTCTAAATTTTAGATTTAATACATTACTAAAAATGATTATTATTGTTTTTGAAAGTATAGGAGCATATTTACATAATTTTTATGTCATTTAAGTGTGCTTCTATATCAAATAAATAAAAAATACTTCAAAGCTCAATAAAATTTATAGACCACGAACGTTTATCCAGTTACACTTCGTTTCCAATCTTAAATCCACACAAACAATCATCGCCACTCTAATATTTCACTAAATCACATTCTTTGGTTAATTATGTTATGATGTTATCTACTTGAGGGTGATAAGGTCGACAAATCTAGGTATTGCCCACATGAGATATTATTGTCCACATGATCAATAGGTCCCAACAAAGTTCATCCATTGTCACTTTTTTCGGTTATACACATTATATAACTGACAAAGATAACGTAATCAATTTGACCCAAAAAAAGATAAAGCAATCAACGGGCGACAAAAGTATGTCTGGATTATTTTAAAGGGTAATGTAACATACCAGAATAATCCGAGAAGAATTATGTCAATAATCACAACATAATTTAAAATGGTGACTAAAGGAAGGCCACCTATATATGACTAGACTACAAGTCAGTAAATTTGATACTCAGATTCGTTTGACTATTCTCTTAAGTACTACTACTAGAGGTAGAGATTAAAAGGCTATTAGATAATAATATCCACCAAATCTGTGTTCTTTTTTGTGTGTACATCATATACAACATTTTTTATTCAAAGTCAAGGTATTTTTGTGGAGAGGGAGGGGGGGTTAATTCAAGGTCTTTATAGTTGAATATATAGATTTAATAGAGTAATACAATTAGAACCCCACTCCCACATTAGGTTCTTAATGATAAAAATATTAATAATGATTTAATTTTGGTATTTTGTCCACAAGTTTGTTCAACTGAAAATAACATACGTAGTTAGCGTTTTTTATTAAGGATAATATCTCTCACAACAGGAATTCAATGAGATTTAAAATAATGTATAAAGGATTAGGGTTAATCCACTAATCACCAATTAATTATAAGTTGGAATCTTATATATATTATTTAAGATCCTATTAAATTTTTGATGTGAGATATATTATCCTGAATGCCCCTCCGTGGGATGATAGTTTTTATCACCAGAAATCTTGTAACTTTAAAACATTTCTATTCGGTCGGGCAAGTCAAATATGACAATTATACATAGTCCTAAAGTTAAACATGACTTTATATCCGGTCAAAAAAATTAATTAATTAATTAGGGATTTAGGGTTTTTAGGATTTGAGCTCTGATACTATGATAGATTTAGGTGTATTATGGGTTTACAACTTAAAATCAATTGATGATAAAAAAATTGGTATTGACCAATTATATATTACTTAGGGTCACATTGAATTTTTGATGTGGATATACATATCCCTAATATTTCTAAACAGGTTCTCCTAAGCTCTTCCGCGAGAAATTCTTTTGATTCATTCAAAAAAAAAAAATTCTTTTGATTCTGTTTTTTCTTTTTGGGTTTTTAAATCAGTTAGAGCACCCCCATCAGTGAACCTAAGGGGGTTCACAACTATTTTTATTTTTTATTTTTTTTCGTTTGATATTTTGTAAAAGAAAAAACTGATCAATCGCGGATCGTCATATATCGTGGAACTCGCAGAACAATAATGATACAAGTTCATCTCGAGGAGCTTCGACAATATAGGTTTATAATTTTTGACTTATTTTATTAACTTTTTTTTTGGGAAATGTGAGAGCACCCTTCATGAACCTTCAATGGGGGTGATCAGAAACCCATCAAGAACCTACGGATTAGGTTGACCTAACTACATCAAACGTTTGATTAATTGAGGAGTCATTTTCGTGAAACTCTACCATTTACCATGCGTTTGATAGCCAGAGATAAACTATGATTTTCCCAGACATTATTTTTGTCTTAGATATCTTTTGTTGCTGTCACGATCAGACTCTTGTTCATATCTTGGATGGAATTTGTTGTTCAAATCTGTTATTCTATCTCAAAATGCTTAATAGATATTATATTCGATTTTTGACCAGTTCAGTGTCAGAAAAACGTCACGTAGTGATTGCACTGTTCCTCCTTGTTTTTTTTTTCTTTTTTTCTTTTTTGAACACCTGTTCCTCCTTGTTCAAAAGATTATTTGTAACATCTCTGAGCGTGTGCTTTCTTTAATTACTAGTTTGTATAATACATAACATGCACATATACGTGAACTTTAACTATACGAGAAAAAGTAATGAGCTGATGGATAAATATATTTGTTGTAGTATGTATGACCAGACATCGGTTCCTCCTAGCAACATGGGGAAACTGAAAGACAAAATCTTCTATTTATATTATTATTATTATTATTATTATTATTATTATTATTATTATTATTATTATTATTATTATTATTATTATTATTATTATTATTATTATTTTAAATTAGATACCATTTCTGAATAAGAGTTTTACAATGAGAACATATTTAACATGAATACATGAACTCATGTGAACGTAGCCAAAATATTGAATCTTGATGCTTGGTCTACCCTTGAATTCTCTCAAACCAGAGATTAAGATACGAGCTTGCAGTGGGGTGATTTAAAATCCTTTGAGTAGAAGAAGATGCAGGTTGTTGTTCCATATCC